CTTCCATCATCCCTGCCATGGGGCCAGCAGCCCCTGGGACAGAGGAAAACAAGAGCAGGAACTGTTCCAGCTCTGCCAGCTTAATTGCTGGAAACATGCCAGAAGCTTCAGACAACTTCAATAGCAGGCCTTTGCTGATCTGACTTATTTTGACAGAAATGAGCTAGGGAGCACACAGGCAAGCTGCTGTACCAGATCAGTGGGAACCTTCGGCAGCGCAGTAGTGATGAATGGCAGCAACCTCTTCCATCGACACAGGGTAAGCCACAGTTCAACCCATTTTGCTCAGAAGTTGCCCAGTTCAAAACAATTTCTACAACTGATCTTTTCCAATCCAAGCTAATTTTGAGTCAAATGAGTCAAAATGCTGGCTCCTCTGAGAAGGTATGAACCTTAATTCTGCTTTACTGAATTGGAATGTGTTATGTTGGTACAAAAAACCTTTGAGCATGTGGATTTTTTAAGTACTTTTTGAACTCTGTTTGCATAGCTAAACCAAAAAGGCTTTCTCTGTAAATCTGGCCTGAAGAAACTAGGTGTCCAGCTTGTAATTAATACGTTAGGTACTCTTAAACTCTGACAGAAATCCCAGCTGCAGCTTCTAGATAGTAAAATCCTCACAATTAAAATATACAAATATGCTTCAGACACCTGTCTAAAACCACTTTGCAGTCATTTTTACCTCTAGGCACATGAGTAGTCCAATGACTTCTGTACAGCTTAAAGGTTGGCAAGATTAAGCTTAAGAAGTCTAGCCAACTGTATAAATATGAATGGAACTCAAATAAATGCAGCAAATATCAAACCCCTACATTTTAGTGAGTTACAGAAGGAGTTTTGAATGGAAACTCATACAATAAAAAATTGATGCTGCAGCCAGCATTTTTGTCTGTTTCGAACTTAAAACTACACCAATGTACAGAGGAGAGTTATGTTCTGCTTCTACCCCAAACACACCCTACTATATTAAACCATTGCCAAATTCTACAGTGAAAGCCTGATCCAAAACTCATCGAAGTCTGCAGAAATATTCCAATTGATTTCAGTGGGCTTTGGAATAGGCCCATACTGACATCCATTCAACTTTATTGAACTAAGCTTTCCTGTGGAGCTGCAGCAGCCAATATGGCCATAATGACTGGCTTTAGCCAAGCTTTAAGGCTACTACTAGTCAAATAACATCACAGCAAGTAAATTACAGCAGAATGAACTCATTATTATTTCTCTAGATTTAAAAAAATGCATGTTTTCTGAGCTCACTACCGTATTTTCCAGGTGAAGAAAACTTTCAGTTTGCCTCTGATCCCTCATAGATTTTTCAGTCTGAGTCACAAACTACTTGTTTATCACAGGCCACTGAAATAAGTATAAAGTTTGCATGAGGATGATAAACATACCACGCTAAAAAGATGCACAAAAATCAATATATTTGGGAGTTTTGGCTATCTGCTAGCAGCCAACATCAACTACCTAATTTTTTCCTGCCATTAAACTCATTAAAGTTCCACTGACATCAATAGGAATTAAACATGAGCTTGCCGCTTAGGATTTGGCATTCTGTCTTGTCACCAATTTAATTCTTTGCTGACTTAAAGGGCAACACACCCTTTTACGACAGGTCATCTCACTTGCTTGAGACATTTATTTTCCCACATGTAATGCCATAATTTCAAGGAGACTAGTTTAGGAACAAGAATGTCTGTGTAAATATAAAAGATAAGGTCTCTTTGCGGGTTTATTATGTTCTGGATTGGGATGTTATTGTAAGAAATTAGTTGGGAAAGCCCAAAAGAGAATTTACAGTCAAATCCATGGAAAACGTTCATCTATTTGAGTAAAGGAGTTTAGTAAATGTCAATGGAAACATTTACTGAGCATTTCCTAAAGCGTGCTTAAATACATCTAGACTACAGATAGAGGATGCCACTCATGCCTTTTATAATACCAGAGTAGGAGATATTAACCTGGGTTTTAAAAAGGCATAAAGAATTGCATATGCTGTTTTGCATGACACTAAACACACAGAACACTCAACAAACAAGGCCTTGGGTTCAATAATAATTGTTTCTTCTGCTGATCTGAGCCTTCATTTGATAACGTGATCTTAAAAATTTCATTAACTTTTGAAGAACCAGATGCAAATCTTATTTCAACCTCTTTAAAAATCTATACTAGTTTGGTGCTTCTGGACAACTCGTTCAGTGCCCAAAGGCATATCTATATAACGGCATACCTGACAAATGCCCGCTCACCCACAGGCTGCCTTAGTTCCCTAAATCCTATGCATTTCATTTTGCCCAAGAGGGATAATTCTCAATTGCCTAAACTTAAGTATTCAAATGACACTCAGCATTCTGCAATCCTATCAAGTAAAGAAATCCCTCTTGCTGCACAGTCCCACTGTTTAATGAAAAGACATCAAGAAATACGGGAATTCAAGTTAAGTCAAGTCATTTGTTCCTAAAGAATGACTGTGCCTCATGTCCAGCCTCACTGTTCTCACTGCGCAGATGATGGCAATTAGTTTGTTAAAATCCTGACTCTATAACCCATGAGAAGAGACAGAGTAAACATCAGCAGAGACTGCTGCAGTGCAAAGAGCACTTATACTACCCTGAGAACTAGCAAAATGAATACAAGAATCACACTGACTACTAAGTGCCTGCAGTCCAATTCTTGCTTTCAAATAGTGATGATTTTGTCCCATCCAGTTGCTTTGAAGCACTCAAGAAATCTGATCTACTGCAATTAAATACCGTCAGGATGACTTGAAACCTATGACTCCTACACATTTATCAGAGCCGATGAAAATAACAACCTAGCCTGTGGTTTTTTCTCTCAAAGATCCCCTCCTTCCCTGTTCAGAGATCCAGGCGTCCTCATTTTGCTAGCATCCAGACAAAGGTGCATTTTACAAGTATGCCCTAGGCTGGAGAACTGTTTATAAACCAACCTATGTTCAATCTATTATGCATGCACCCCCCGCTGGACTATTTGTAATATGACCTCTGCATACCTGCCAAGAGCTGGGATATCAGTTTGAAACCCAAAGCATCTCTCTCCCTCCTCCTTCCCTCTGCCTTACAGTGATCAATAAAGACATCCGCAGTCGAAGCAGTAGCAGGATCACCTTTTCACACTTGCCCTGAGCCGGGATTTTCGTTTGCAGCCCAAAGCCCCTAGCCCCTGACGACACACCGAGCCACCCCCGAGGGCGCTACGGCCCGGGGCAGCCCCCTGCCCACCTACCCGCGCCGCGCAGCTCCCCAGCCCGCAGCCCCTTGGCTCTGCCAACGCTGCCTTTCTGCGCCCAGTTTCTCTTTCCGCAGAAAGGGAAACCCAACCTCTCTCCGCGCCAGGTGCACCTCTTTTTTGGGGAAAAAAAAAATAAAATTGGACCCACATTTTAAACAAAGTGAGCAGCAGCTTCTGGAATGTGCCTGAGAAGACAGACAGCCGCGGCCGCGCGGGAGGGAGGTTTTTCCTTTCGCCTTCCCCCTCCCCGCTCATGCCGGCCCGGTCCCAGCCGCAGACCC